GTGTTGGACGTCAGTAGACAGGCATCAGATTTAATGTGTGTAATCTGAAATTGTGAACTTGAAGTGAAAATGTGTAATTGAAGTATTAAATGTTGGGCCAGGAGTATTAGTCACATTCACAGCGGCAAGAAAATAAAAGTTCAGGCTCTGAGAGAACAAAGGCGACTTGATTAAGTCTCTCATTGTCTTATAAAAGCGACGTGCCTGAATCACGAACAGCTGTCACTTTACCAGCTAGAAGCAGATACAAACGTATCATATGCCATCTCTGAAAGTGTGACTGTCAGCTGACGTCAAGAAGAAAGGAGTGTCCATGATTATTAAGATGACATTTTAGGATTCTTAGCTCTGATTAAGGTTGTGTTGAAACCTCCAAAAGGAGCCTCTTCTTGCCCCATACTTACAGATGGCGTCCAAACTGCAGTGCTTTGGATGAGAAAAGAATACTAACGTGACTCTGGAGGCACACTGGCCCTGTGTCCCTCTCATCTGCTTTATAAGCCGACAGCCCTTCTGATTTATATCATGCAATTTTACAGAGGATGGCCAGGCTGTAAGGACAGCAGGCAGACACCTCAAGGGAGTTTGATTCAATTTTTTTGGCTGATGATTTAAAGCGCCAGCAGCCAAAAGAAGTCATGTATAAAACATGTTTAATTCCCACTGCAGGACTTTAAATCACATCAGGTGAGCTTTGGAAAATGTGACCTGGTGTGCTTAAATACTTTATATCTTTATATGTAGGTTTACCCACCACTTTTTTCCAGACTTAAATATATTATTATATATAAGGCTGATATTTTTGCCGACTTTCATGGACTTTACAACTTTTAATAGAAAGAAAATGAAAGTAGAAGCAGCTGGTGGTCAACACATTTTTGCTTTACATGCAAAATATTCCCAGTTTGATTCCGGGTGGAGACACAAATCCAATGTCGGGGTTTCACAAGCCCGTTTAATCCTAGTGACGGTCCCAAGCTCAGATAAAGGGGAGGATTCCTTCAGGAAAGGTATTTAGTAAAAAAAAAATCTGTGCCGAATCGAACATGCAGAGCCGTCTGCTGTGGTGACCTATTGGGCAATAAGAGAGCAGTTAAAATGACTTCGTAGTAGTGTAAGCAGAAGTTCCTGAACTCAGATAAGTTTCTTGAAAGTTCTTCTAAAGATAGTCATGTTTAAGACATTTGCTCTTTTCTACCAATTTTACCATTGTTATTATTTTATTATTATTATGATGCTTCCGATTTTGCCCAAATACCTGAAAAACTATTGACATTCACCTTCAGGCTTAGTTATAATTTCTAGTGCAATAGCAAGTGTTAGCTTGCTAAGCTAAGAGGTTTTACGTAATAAAATATGTGCATTACATTAGCATGTATTCACTGCCATTATACCGTATGTTTGCATGCTGTTGTTAAAGGGTGTCATACTTTGGGAAAACACATTTATATCTTACAGTTGACTTTTTCTGGTTTGCAGGACGGTTTCACTCCGCTGGCGGTTGCACTGCAGCAGGGCCATGACCAGGTAGTTTCCCTTTTGCTGGAAAATGACACCAAGGGGAAGGTCCGCCTCCCAGCGTTGCACATCGCTGCACGTAAAGATGACACCAAGGCTGCCGCCCTCCTCCTCCAGAACGACCACAATGCTGATGTGGAGTCTAAGGTATGAGCTATGAGCTGGACTACACTTCTCACAATGACCTGCTGTTTTGTCGTGTCTGAGATCTGGTCTTACTCATTCATAGTCCCATGACACCTTTCATGTATTATGGGTCCGATTCCTGTTACGTCTTTCTTCACGAAGGTACCTGCCAGGGTTAGCGGTGGTTAGATAACTGCTGACCGTAGCATACAAACATCAAGGTGGGCTACATCTTCTCACTTTACTTCAATCATGAGAGGGAATAAGGATATTTCCAAACTATTACACCTATTTCTTTTTTTTCCAACCATGTCTAAAGACTTTATTTCCATTGGTGATGTAGAAAACAGAACCATTTGTCTTTTAAAAATCCCATTTTCTGTTTCCTTTACTTTCATTCTGAGATTTAGTGACTGAAGTCTCACAAAACAATAAACTGTCCATATATCAAACTACATTGAATTATGTACATTATATTAAATTATTTTTAATATAAATATAAACCAGTGATATAACTGAAATGTAATGTAATGGGATAAAACCCCAAAACATCAAAAATATTTACAAGTAACATGGGTTACAATGTCATTTGTACTTTATTTGCATGGAACCGACCGTCAATCACATATTACATATCATAGGATAGGGCAGAAAAGAGATTGTCTTTGCTAAAGACTAAAATGCTTTTAAAAATCGATATGAAAACTAAGAATAGTCTACTAACAACACAATCGTTCAAGACTTCCATTAATATGGAATACATTTTGAATTATTTGATTCTCTGGATTAATTAAGGGTACACCTTAAGCTGTGGCCTTGACTACCCTCCCCCCAATACACCTGTATACTTGTGGTGTGTGTGTATAATTCCCACAGGGTATCATTGGGCTATGAATATTTATTAGTTCCTTCTGTTGTTCTGTGTTGATAGTTCTATTAGTCGTTTAAGTCCCAGACAAGTTTTCTGTGGGACAAAAAATGAGCAAGTGTTCATATTTTGGATTTTTAGAGGCACTCAGGGCAAGAAACAATATCATCAAAAACAACAATACAGCTACATTTACCCCAAGGACCATTCTCATTGTAGAATCAATACACGCTGTAAGGGAGAGTTGCATTCCCCAGTTTTGTGTACTTCTATGTGACTGCTTTTTGGTTCTTTTCGTTGTTTACAGCCACATTGTCACATACCCATCCTACAGCTTGATGCAACCATGATGTCGGTGTTGCAGTTGTTCTTGTTGTGGTGCACTAACCACCTCATTCTCTCCTCCTCCTTTTGTTCCTCCCTCTACTTGTTCCTTTTTCTTACAAATCCCCCCTTTTCCCTTCTAGATGATGGTGAATAGAACAACAGAGGTACATCTTCTCTTCTCTTCTCTTCTCTTCTCTTCTCTTCTCATCTCTTCTCTTCTCTTCTCTTCTCTTCTCTTCTCTTCTCTTCTCTTCTCTTCTCTTCTCTTCTCTTCTCTTCATTGTTCACTCATAGTCACCATTGCAAAGCCTTCTGTCTGCTAGCATGAGCACTAGCACTAAATGCTGGCATGAAAGCTTTTGCTGCTGAACCCATGTGCTCATTTTTTTAAGCCTGCATGGCATTTTGACTTTTTTTATTTCTGTGTACGCAGTTGCTCGCTACTATAGTTTATAGCATTGTAAATTCAGCAGCGCAGTGCATCTGGAGGATTCACAGCGTTTCACTTGCTCCTCATTTTGTCATGTTACAGCCTTATTCCAAAATGAATTGAATCCATTATTCACCTCAAAAATCTACACGAAATAGCCCATAATGACAAAATGAAAAAAAACCTTCCTTGAAAATCTTAAAAAATGTATTAAAAGTAAAAAGCTGTCTATATAACATCCCATAGTTGACAGTGCATGTCTGAGCGCAGACCAGGCCATAAATTCCAAGAAATTGCCTCCGAGACAGGATTGTATTGTGACACAGTTCTTGAGAAGGGTACAGAAAAACTTCTGCAGCATTGCAATTACAGTCCAAAGTCTTTTTCGGTATGATGCTGCTGTACAATCTTGGCTGTTTTGGGGCAATTTCTCTCATCCTTCTCTGCAGAACCTCCCAAGCCCCATCAGGTTTGATGGGGGGCGTCGATGTATAGCTGTTTTCAGATCTCTCCAGAGACGTTAGTGTGGTTTCAAGTCTGAGCTCTGGCTTGGCCACTCACAGACATTCACAGAGTGCTCGCAAAGGCACTACTTTGTGTTCTTGGCTGTGTGCTTGCAGCCGTTGTGCTGTTGAAAGATGAAGCAGGTTATCGTCAAGGATGTCCCTGTACATTTCTGCATTCATCTTTCCAATTGACCCTGACTAGCCTCACAGTTACTGCTGCTGAAAACGTTCCCATAGCATGATGCTGCCACCACCATGTTGCACTGTAGGAATGGTATTGGCCAGATGATGAGCGGTGCCTGGTTTCTTCCAGACGTGATGCTTGGCATGCAGATCAAAGAGTTTGTGGTTTCACCAGACCAGAGAATTTTCATTTCTCATGGTCTAAGAGTCTTTCAGATGCCTTTTGGCAAACTCCAGTCCTGTGCCTTTTACTGTGGCGTGCCTTCCGTCTGGCAACTCTACCATACAGGCTTGATTAGTGGAGTGCTTCAGAAACCTTTTTCATTAACGGATGTTGGAGGCCGCTGTGCTCATTAGAATCTTTAATGCTGCAGACTTTTTCTGTACCCTTCCGCAGATCTGTACCACAGTACAATCCTGTGTCGTCAGCCTACAGACAGTTTCTTGGACTTTATAGCTTGTTTTGTGCTCTGACATGCACTGTTAACTATGCAACCTTATATAGGCAGTTTTTAACTCTTAATAAATTTGCAACAATTTGAAACAAGCCTTTTTCACTTTGTCATTATGGGGTATTTTGTAGAATTTTGAGGGGAAAATGAACATAGTCATATTCCATTTTGGAATAAGGCTGTAATTTGACAAAATGTGGAACCAGTGAAGTGCTGCATATGCTTTCCAGATTCACTGCATAATGTATTTCTACACTAGGGTAATACCATCAGTATATCATCACAGCCATATTACACATAGCACTTTGCAGAAAAGTAATACCTACTTGATTTTAACAATTTAAATAAATGTATTTTATTTTTGTTTCATGGTTTATATAAGTGCCGTCCAAGACACATTCAACTTCTTCCAGTTCCAGTACAATACCAGTGTATAGCCTCCAAAGTTTCAGCTTTTTGAGTCTGAACCAGACAATATCTGATATAAGTTTATAGTCCCTGCATCTAAAAGGATATCTGGTTTTAGATTACTGTGTAATATGTTCTTGGGAACATCTACACCATGTGTCCAAATTGTTACTACATAAATTTAACCTATATTTGTAAAAGTGTAATGCTAAAATGCCCCAAATTTTTGCCCAGTCTCACAAGGTTAAAGAATCCTCAAAAAATTCCTAGATGGAAAATTCCAGATGTAGATTCAAAAGTAAAATTTTTCAAAGTTGTGCCAAGGTATGGTGGCACTGAAAGGTCAAACGCACTTCAACCGAAGGAAACAGTAGGGACTAGAAATGGGCTCCAAAAGTGCACAAATCACAACAGGAGTTGAATAAAACACAATGAAAGTTAAATTATTATAACAGGAAAAAACTAAAACCTTAAAACAATCCTGAAGAGTTTTTGAGGAGACACTAATGTGACAGAACAGCTATATGACAAGCTAACAGTAAACAGAATAGGAAACATGCATTATATGAATTGTGCATTATCTTTTTCGTCCTCACAAAACAGATGAATCCTCCACTTCTTTTAAGCGTCTCCCGGTGCAATCCTTATTGTGTTTCGGTTTCCTTTATTTCAGGAGCTGTTCTGTCACGTTAATGTCTCCCCCAAAAATATTTCTGTTGTGTTTTTTTCTGTATTTTTTCTACTTCTATTCTGTTTTTATTCAACTTCCATTATGTTTTGTGTTGTTTTACTGCAAATCTACCCAAAACTTTTGGAGTAATGCTGAAAACAAACAGACAAACCAAACCGTTACTAAAATGTCTTTGGTGGAGTTAATTGAGCTTCTATCAGTGAAATCCAGCAGGGTACCAACAGAGGCATCAAGGTGTAAGATTTGAGTTTGCATAACTTAAAAAAAGAACTTTATCTTTACCATAAATCCAGAGTTTATGGGATGCATGAAATCATTGTGGTCATCGGGACGATAAACTGCTACAGCACAGCCTAATTTTTATTCAAATTAAATAAAATCAACAAAGAAAATTCTTTTGTTGATGTGATTTTTCTCATGCAAAAAGTAGCAGTAGCCAGTTCATGTGAATACTGCTGTGTTCGCATACTCTTCATCTTGAGTTCATTACTGGGTACATTCTCATTTAGTCTAAAATATGATGTTTAGAATTACAATGTAAAGTTTTAAATGTAACTACAATTTATGTAATATTTTTGTTCATTTTCTTGTCAAGAGTAAGATATTTTGCAATAACTGGGGAGCTAATGACAAGCTTCAGTTGACTTCAGCTTATCATACTGTAGCTTAAGGATTACAGATGGGGAAAACAGCTAGTTTGAGTGGTTTTGTTCATACAAAGAATTGTGATTTTACAGAAGTGAATGCCCTGAACCCTTACATGCTTGTACATGTAACTGTATCCAGCAGTAATGGGCATTGGTTTATCAGACCATTGCACCCAGCTGACATGTGAAAGTGTTGGAAACCACATCAGTTAGCAAAGCAAAAACTCAAAAAGAACTTTGAAATTAAAAAAAAAAAGCATTAGCTAGTCTTGTTGTCTTTTTGTCTTTTTGGAGTTGTATTTATGTGTGTTGTGTAATATCCTTGTGTTGTTGACATTTCTTTCTCCCTTCACAGTAGCATCTCTCTGTACTGTGATCCCACTTGAGTTACAATTATTTGTTATTTGATATAGAAACATAAATTTTTTGGCATGCACTGCTTATTGCTGCAAAAAATAATTTGGGGGGAAAAAAGCTAATAATGAACAGTTGGAAATGATCAAACTAAATGAATGATTTCTTTGTTTTTTTTTTAAGCCGTTCATGTTCAGTGAGCCGGTAACTTAAAAATCTTCAAGAAATGGCAATAGTTTAGGCTTTTCAGTCACTGTTTCTTAAAAGCAGTCTTACAAATTCAACTAAAACAGATGCATGCTCACCTGCATGCTGCTTCCTGTCAGATAAAAGCATATAGCAAGGAGGTTTTTTTAGGAATGAAAGCAAAAGCTTAATGAGACACTTAGTATTTGCATTTGTTTTTTAATCTGCATGCTTTTTTTATTTGGTAGGTTCTTATTTTTGTTTGTATTGTGTCAGACAGTGTTAAATGCTGTATACTTACCACAATAATTTCGCAAAAAAGTTGAAACATGCAGTCAGTGGCCACTTTATTAGGTATATCTGCAAACCTTAATATAAACATACATGTTAGCGTTCTGTTTTGATCGACATTGTCAGTCAGGTGGAAACAGAGATGATACTGAGGTGGCAATTTGCATTGGACAAATTTATATTTGAATTTAAATCTGTCCAATAGAAAACCAGCATTAAGCAAACAGTTAAATTAATGCCAATTGCCCGTCAGAAGAATAATTGGTAGTGCTGTTGCCTAATAAAGTGGCTAGGGAGTTTGTGTTTCTTATAAAAGTCCACTCCTTTTATGCTGAAATTTTCAAAGCATGTCTGACTCCTGCTCAGCTCTGGTCTGCTGTGCTCTGTTAGTCTGCTTTTAGCAAGATGCTCTTACATGTAATGTCCAATCATGCTTTGCTTATGGCTCATTATTAGACAGTTGCTGCTTCTTTTTCCTTCCTCTCTAATTGTTTCTCTTCCTGTGTGTCTTGTTTCTCTCGTCTCTCTCAGAGCGGGTTCACTCCTCTGCATATTGCGGCTCACTACGGCAACATCAACGTAGCAACACTGCTGCTTAACAGAGGGGCAGCTGTGGACTTCAAGGCGAGGGTAGGTCCTTCACTTCAAAGGCGACAAGCGCACACACACACACACACACACACACACTCACACTCATATCTACACGCAGAGTGCTGCTGCAAACCTTCATACCAAAACTCTTACTTTATGCAGGGAAGGATATGCATGAATTTTTGCTGGCCTGTGTGTATAATTCCACAGCTGTACTTGTCACTCTCCTGGAGGAATCATGCACATGCAGTCCACGTTCTATCTGATCCCACAGGCTGTAGGAATGGATGCAGCAGTTATGGATTTTGATAGCTGGTGGTTTGTGAGTGTGTAAGTGTGTAAGTGTTAGACCAAATAAGCACTTACCATGTGGAAACAACCCAAAACACACGTCTCATACCATAATTTACTCATAAAAGTGGCCTCTTTTCTAATTTTCTCACCCAATGTGCCATTTATTTGATTTATTCATAAATGTTACATTTATGCTTCCCTAAATATATGTTAAAAGTGGGCACATTCATGAGTAAATGAATCTGTTTGTAACAGAATCCACTCAAACATTATCTGAAGTCGGGTTGCAGTGTCAGCAGGCTAAGCTGGGTTTTTCAGACTTTCCAATTCCTCCAGGGAGATCCAAAGGCATTCCTAGACATGATGAGATAAATAATCTCCAGTATGATCTGGGTCTGTCCCAGGGTCTCCTCCAAGTTCCCAGAAAACCCAGAAGGGAGGCTCCCAGTCGATTTCTGAATCACCTCAGTTGGCTTCTTTCCACATGAAGGATCAGTGGCTTTACTCTGAGCTCCTCTATGTCTGCAGCTGAGCCCAGCCTTTTATATTTGCACCCTTATTTTTTTGCTAATTATGCACATTTCATCACCATAGGTGAGAAGTTGGGCAACACGAGCATTAATCCACATGTACACCCCATGCTCCACCTTCCCATCACTCATGAACAGATTACAAAACATAAACATAAATAAAAGTTGTTTTTTTTCCATGTCTATAATGTCAGTCAAGTAACTTCTAATGTTCCAAGTTAGGATTAAAGGTGTTTGTCTTTTGATGTGTTTTGGTCCAGATTCAATAAATGCATCACTTTACTCTCTGTTTTTAACAGAAACAGAGAATAGTCATACCGGCCTCTCTGATTCCTTTGTGCCACAAAGAGCTTTATTTTTTCCCCAAGAACCATTAAAAACCATCATTGAGCCACACCCTCACTCTCAACCCTCACTTTCCTTCATTACTGCAAACATGCAAAGTAGGGGTGGGCCAGTAATTACATTTAAATTGTGATTTTTCTGCTAACAATATGAAAACAAGATATTGAGCTAAAGCAGTGAATGTGCCGCATTCTGTTTTATCAGGATGTTCTCGCTTCATCGTGTTTTTTAAATGCGGGATTTTCCTTTCCTCTACCGCACTTGCGTTTATTGTTTCTGAAACGCCCAAATTCATGCTCTGAATTCATCTCATCTTTATTTTGTTCATTATTTCTATTTAATTTTGTTTAAAGTTAAGGAAATCTGCTGAGAGATATTTGTTAGAATCTTCAAATGTTGCAAGATGTTTTCAAAGCCAAGGAATCATTTTAATAATCACATTCAAAGCCTGGACCGAGTTTAGTACTTTACATATCATCTCTCTCTCCCTCACACACACACACACACGCACGATTTTGCTTCTCTCACTACTGAAAATGTATTATTCAGCAGCTCGAGAACCCCGGCATATTTATTTACTCTTACATGAGTAACATTTGGATGAAACTCCAGTTACTCAACCTTAAAATAAATATTCAGTGGATGATGACTCTGGCAGTAAGGGCCTGTTCAAACACCGGATATAAGAAGGCTGAAATGTGTTGATGCTGAGAAAAGTCTAGATTAAAACTAACATTTCCTTTTAAATAACTGTGAAAACTGTGTTCTTTGGTGGCAAAATATCAAACACATACTGGAAATACACACAATCTCTGGTGAACACATAGAGATTTTAGAAGCCTCTGGCATTTTTAGAACAGAACCTCAAAGCTAAGGTTGCTCTGGCTGGAATGATCACTGTCCTCTAGAGGGGGGTATTTAGCCATTTCCCTCTGGCACTCTCAAATAGGGATGATCTGATATCCTCGTGTTGGTGTTGTTCCCAGATCATCATGAAAATGTTGTTCCAGGTTCAACATTGCAAGTGACCAATCACATTATTGTGACGTTATTCTTTTGCGCACCAACCCATTCGTGCATTTATGAAATTCCAATGTTGCAAGGACAATATCAATTCTGCTTAGCGTTTATTAAAGGGTTAGGGTCAGGGTTAGGGTCCGTTGATCGGCGGACAAAGGCGGTTTCTCACAGCTTAAGTACAGTTTTTTGTTTTACGCCGGTTTTTCCCGAAGTCGCAAAAGTATGACATCACAACATTCTGATTGGTCACTTGCAATGTTGATCCTGGAACAACCTTTAGTATGATGATCTGGGAACAACACCAACACGAGGATATCAGATCATGCCTCAAATAGAACCAATTTTCCCTAAAAGTGACGTATTAGCAGTGGTACTCCTTCTCTTTTCCTGAAATAAATGTTGATTTTTCTTTTCTCTTCATCTGAATAGCTAAACAATGCATCTCTGTTTCCTGCAGAACGACATAACACCGCTGCACGTAGCGTCCAAACGTGGGAACAGCAACATGGTGCGACTGCTGCTGGAGAGAGGGGCCAAGATAGATGCACGCACCAAGGTACAATCACATGCGCACAATGTTATTTGATGCAGTGTTCAGTTTAGATTTAAATATTGATATTTAAACGTGTATTCGTGTATTTAATGCTCATAGACTTTCAATATTTCAATATAATTTAGAAGTGCTTTACATCAAACTAACATAACTCCCGATAAAGTAAACATACAGCCATACGTAGGCTGTTTACACAGGGTGGTATGTGAAATGAATATAATGGAAGGGTAAAAAACATTAATTAAAAATGAGAGGATAAAATCCATAATCACTAGGTGTAGGGTGCTTTACATTTGTCCATCATATAATTTTTTAGCTGAGGAATTTCCAAAAACCCTAAAATTATTATTATCTAATCCCACCCACAGCCGTGCGAGGATTAAGCATCACCTGCGGTGTCATGTCATATCTTGTCTGCTGCTCAACGAGCTTGTTGATGATGGTTATGAAGTTCACGGCTGAGCAGCAGGTGTTTGTTTTCACAGGACGGTCTAACTCCTCTTCACTGTGGCGCCAGGAGTGGCCATGAGCAAGTAGTGGAGATGCTGCTGAACAGAGGAGCTCCAATACTGTCAAAGACCAAGGTTTTTAAGAACAAGCCAACAAAATCACATTAGCAAACTGCATCCGTATTAACTTCACATCGTTGAACATCTTTCTCCTCCTTTTCCTTCCAGAACGGTCTGTCTCCTCTTCACATGGCGACGCAAGGCGACCACCTCAACTGTGTTCAGCTGCTGCTGCACCACGACGCGCCCGTGGACGACGTGACAAACGACTACCTGACGGCGCTGCACGTCGCTGCCCACTGCGGGCACTACAAGGTGGCGAAGGTCATCGTGGACAAGAAAGCCAATCCCAACGCCAAGGCGCTGGTGAGGGGATCTCAATTATTTATTGTGATAAAAATAAATAAAAATCGATGAAAAGTACAAAATAATGGAGAGGAATTAAAAGGGCTCATCATCTCAGAGCATCTCGTTGCTTGGGCTAATCAGGAGAAGCAGGAATTCTTTTATGTAAAGTTAAAAATGATAAGACATTATGTTGTGACTCTTATTGAAATCCTGTTCCTGTGTAAGAACAGTTTTGCTGAATATTTGAGCGCCTTCTTTTTAGCAATGACAATCTCAATGACAATCGGATTTATTTTGAATGTAGACAAAGCTATTAGCTGCAGATAAAAGCTCGATCTCATGCAGTTGTCTGTGGGCTCCCACGTTGAAACCTTAAGCTTAAAAATTTGGTGGATATTTGAAGAAGTAGTGAAGTTCTAACTTGCCAGCTACTGCCAGCTAACTTAGCAATGTGATAACATGTTAATCAAATGTGGCTTCACTTTCTATTGGTGGATTGCATAGCCACAGATACCATCTGATCAGTGCATCTTGCTAATAAATAGCAAATTTGCACTTCCCAAAACTGGAGCACAATATTCTTGGATGAGCTCCAGCACTACGAACTCAGCAGAGGTGACAACTAGTAGACAGCCACAGCCGCCTCTTTTGGCAGGCATCTGTCAACCACACCACAAAATATGAATAAGCGTAAGCCTCAAAACATTTTAAATTCAGTTTGAAAAAAAAATCCCCCCTACAGTGTCACAGAACAAAGCTGGACTGTAAACTTGTAAATGTTTATTTCTGCTCGAAGGTTTTAACATTTTAACATGATAGTCTGTGGGGATTGACATGCTTTTGGAGTGAGCCTCAAGTGGCCATTTGAGGTACTGCAATTTCAACCACTTAACATCTAGTGCAGCGGTCCCCAACCCCCGGGCCACGGACCGGTACCGGT